TTGTACTGCATTGTGCCTGGCAATTTTGTGCAGTTTATTAGCAATGGTAAATGTATTTTTTTCTCTAATGCTTTGTAAGAGAAAGTAAGTTTGCAGTAAGTTAAACATTTGTCATTGTTATATAACCCAAAGAACTAGCGATGAAAATTATTCTGCCTTTCTCTAGAGCTCTTCATTTATATTCCTAAAGCATTCATGGCGAGCTGTAGCAGAGCAGGGGACAGGTCACTGGACTAGGAATCTGAAGACTGAGTCACTACTTACATAGTGACTTGGAGGGAGTAACTTCCTTTCTCTTTGCCAGTTTCCCTTCATCTGTGTTTTAAAGTCTCAGACATGCAAAATAATTACATCAGTGATACATTAAGTAATGAGATTCTGTGCAGAATAGAAATCTTTCTAAAAGATGGATGCTTGTGGATGGATTTCTCCATTCCTGCTGTGCTGGAGTTTCATTGTGCCTTTGCCACGTGCCCGTAGCAGCTGAATATTTCACTCACCCAGACTGGTTTCATTGTGTTCTGCAGTGGGGGGCAGTGGAATATCAGTTATGGGATTTTGAGCACGAGTTACAAAAACCCAACCCAAGGAGCTCAAGCATTTTTGTTGACATCCATGCTGCTGCATCTTGACCTGTTAATGCTTTTGGCCAAATGAAAGCCAGGATGGGTGTTCCTGCATGTGTTGTACTATAGCCACAGTTTTTGGAAGAGTGCAGTCGTGGTAATGGTGTGCTCTGCTTCCCGGACAGATTCCACGGGACACCGCTGTTGTTCATCCCAGTAAGCCTGGCACACCTGGGCAGGGCTGGATCAAGCCATCAAACCCATGAACTTGATTCTCTTTGAGAAAGAACTGGTTTCTCGAACCTTAGACTCATTGGAAAATGCTCAAATGACCTTTTGTTTCTGTTCCCAGGGTCCTAAGAGGGAAATTCCACAAGAACTGTTAATTCTAGAGTAGATAGCAAAACACTATGATTTCCTTAGGGAAAAAAAACAAACAAGCACACAAAAAATGTTTTTGCCCCCTGACTTCAATCTCCAGGGCATTTCCAGTGTCCCACCCATTTATTGAGAGGCAGCTTGGGAGCATTTGAAAGAAGGTGCTTTCTGTGTGTCCTGTTACCATTGACAGTAGTCTTCACCGTCTTAGGCCAGGAAAAGTAGGTAGAACTCTCCAAGATGAATGCTTTAGTTTCCTCACAGCCATTTTGCTTTGGTACAGCATATGCTACCTGTGATAATGGGACAGAGATACATTTTCAAAGCTGCTACTGACAGATCTTGAGATGTTTTTTTTTTTTATTTTACAGCTGACTATGAACTCACTCAACTCCAGGAAAGACTGAGAGAGACAGAAGAAGCTATGGAAAAATTAATCAACAGAGTAGGACCTATGTATGACAGGTGTGTATCAAATTACAGCATTTTAAGGAGACATCCTGCTCTGATTAGAAATTAAACTTTCTTGCATTATCTATATTAAAGTACCATTTTTATTGCTACTTCAAATTGTAGAAATTTGATTTTACACATCACACTTTTTGTTCTGCAGTTTTTCTCTTTTCAGCATCATTGTGTAATATAAATATTTTTTTCCAACTTCATTTTCCTTAAACAGAATAACAACTATCCCTACCTTTCCCTTTTTTACAGTGTGTTATTTGGAAGAAGATGACAGGTAGATGTAAACAGAATATAAAACCTCTACATTTGAAGTACATAAAACAACCTGTCTTGTGTGACCAAAGTAATATCCTGAATTATTCTTTTCCAGTTCTATGGATTATTTTTCCAAATTGAAATCTATATAAATTCCTGTTAGAGTAACCATAAAATATTTCTTTAAAGGCAGAATTGTATAATATCTGATTACATAACTTAGTTCCTCGCTGTAACCAGTAAATTCATGTATTAGTTTCTGAATATAAAAGACAAAAGAGTTATAAAATTGGCATTTAAAATTTTATTATGTTTATTAATGTTTGCTAAAACCCCCATACCACTATTCTACATCACAAAGAAACACTGGAAAGAAGCCTGTGTTTTCCATTTTGAATATAAAGAACAGATCAATAGGACAGTGCATAACTGCAGTGTCTGAAAATGGAAATACCATGAATTTTAACGTGAGGTTTGCAATCAAAGCCAATAGCTGTTCAGGTTGTAACGCATGTTAACTTTGTCTGGGCCAGCCAAGGCCTGTTTTAACCCATTCTGTAGGAACAACTCTGTGCTGAACTTGCACATTTTGTTCGTTTATGCTTCAAAGTGTGTAGTTTTGCCCACTCTTGCATGGCCTGTATTGCAGCTGCACTCAGCTCAGGCAGACGAGGTGCTGAGCTTGCCCGTGTTCAGCCAGGTTCCTGCAGGAGAACCCCTGAGCTGCCCTGGTTTAGTCAGTGGAACAGAAGGATACCACCGTGACTATTAGTCCTCTCTGTCCTGGAGAGCTGACACAATGCTCTGTGCCTACCTTTAAGCTGACAGAAATAGGCTTATGAGCTGCCCAGACATTGTGCTGACTCTCAGGATAGAATATTTTTTTACGGAGAAAATCGGTTTAGGGTCTGATCCAGTATTTGTTCCACTCTGTGTTATTGGCTCAAAGCCTCTATTTAGTGGAACTTCCCTTCTTTGTTCAACCAGACTATTTATATACATGGATCTAAAGGTCTCAGGGGAAATCAGAATCTGAATCTAATAAAGAATTTTGTATGTAGCCTCTTTGAAGAGGAAGGGGAAAGCACCTCTAGATGGAGCAAATAGCTGTTTTTAAATACACTCAGATTTGGAAGCTTTCTTAATCTACACTGTGATGCTCATTAAGTTCATTAATACTGGATGAATGTATTAAAATAAAATGTATGGTAGAAAGTGTATTTAGAGCACAGAGTACTGAGCTAGCCTTGTTCAAGTCTGGATGTTGATAGATTTAAATAAAAAGGAAAGAAGAAGACAGCAAAAATCACTTGAGTTTCATTTTTTATATGCAATTAAACAAATTAAATTTGGGTGGTAGCTGCATTTCAATAATGATTATTTTAAGATCATGAAGCTAAAAAAGCACCAGTTAACATGTCTGAGATGCCATGTTAGATTATGGATTTTCACGGCAGTCACGATGGCTCTTCAGGAAATGTTCTTCCTCAGAGTAAGAATAAGAAACCTTTACTTTACTTGTTAGTGAACACTTTGGGACTCTACAAAATGTTATCATTGCCATTATGAAAAGTAATGGTTGCGTTGGAGCTACAAATACAGAGAGCAAAAATAATGACCTTTTCTTACTCTGTAAACCTTCTGCATCTGTTGTCCTCTAAGTATTCCTAAGAACATTATATCCTGGTGAATCTCTCATGTGCGGGGCAGCCAGATGTCTTACACATTGCCAGCATCCTACAGTAAGTCTTCCCAGAGGCCTTAAATGAAGTGGAAATCACACGTGACCTTTAGTTTCTCCCTCTCTAGAGGGAGCAACTAAACTACTTGTCTTCTAAGCAAGGTGTTTGGAGGAGGAATAATCTGAAATATTTGTGTTGCAATAAGACAGGAGCATTTTCTAATGAGAGTATCCTGCATATTAGGAATTTTCCTGTATGAAGTGCTGCAGTGACGCAGCTGCATTGATTGATCCTATTATCTGAGCTAGCATATCTTCCCATTGTGCTAAACAGATAGGCCTCTCTGTCTTCATCCAAGTGATATATATTCAAATTAGGTACAGTTTTGTCTGTAAAAAGAGCATTAGTTTGGCAATTCTGTTACAGCTTCAAACAAAGGCAGTTAGCTGATGAAACCATTCCTTTTTTTGGGCCTTTTAATTCACGTCTCAGATTCTACATCTGCATAACCCAGGCTTTTGAGAAGATGCTGCTGCCTCACAGCTTCACTTGTTTTGTAGAACAGACTGCCAGCACAATTTGACAGAACTCAATGCAGCCTCCCTATAGTGTTGGGATATCAGTTTCTCAAAATGTGGGGCCAAGTGCCCCTCAGGGGAAATGTAGATAAGGGATGTTTTGCCTTGTGATCTCAGTAAAGCAGTTCAATCTGGGTAGGTGCTAATGAAACCAGCAGGCCTGCTCCTGAGCTGGGTTCAGTTACAGACACCTGTGTTCACAGCTGTGCCAAAAAAAAAAATCTAGCCCAGGATCAGGACTCCCATCACCATTGCACCAACCAGCAGTAGGATGCTTGGCTTTGAACCAGTGTCACTCTGCCTTTAGTTGAGTAGCCATCGTGTCACCCATCATTCCTGTGTATGTAGAGTGGCACAAAGTACCTTCTGGAGTGCTGCTCTAGTCCCAACAGCTGGTAAGAGGAAAAACTGAAGAGGAGCACTGCAAGTTTATGAGAATTCAAGTAAATAAAACAAGGCTTAGACAGATACTAACCACCTAAAGCCAAAATCATTAATCTGTTTCTAACTCCTCTCTTCCCATTTCATCCCTAAGATTCACGGAGCATTCACTCTTGGATATTATGTGTGTCTGATCTCCAGTCCAGAGATCACCAGAGATCATCTCTCTGACCTCACACACTGCCTAGAGTTCAGCATTCAGCCAAGGCCCACCCTCTCCAAGGAACTAGGAGCATCAGATCCTGACTAAAACACAGCGAGATCCAAAAGAGCACTAGAGTAGTGACTCAGACCCCTGAGAGTCTTGAACTGGCACTTACACAAAGAACAAACACCTGCTCAAGGACAAAGATCAAGATATCATAATTCTAAACTTGAAACTCAAGATGAAACAAGCACCATCGGTCAGAACCATTTTCACCCCCAAGTACAGCCAACACCTTTCTTACTCTGACCTTCTGAGCTAGTAGAACACAGACCACCATCCTCCAAATAATCCTTTTTTGTCAGTAAGATTTTTAGGAGCCGTTTGCTTCCCAGAGAAAATAACATGCAATGATTACATGATCTTATCTGTTGGAAGCATTTTTGTTACAGCAGTAAGTAATTATATTACCTGAGCTGTAGTAATTACTAGACTCAGCAGTGTAGAACCAGTCAAAATCGTATTTTGCTTTTAATCTGATAAAAATCCTCTCCCACTCTCTAATCATAAAAAGGGCAAGTTAAAGTTAAATGTAATACCTTCTTTTCATTTTTAAATCTTCCTTCCTGCTTCTACCCCCACCTCCCCACCAGGCAGCATTGTTGACTCTCTATAATAACAGCATGATCTGTCCAGTTGACGTTTCCTAATGAGGCCTTGCAAATTAAATGGTCATAATGAGGGATCATAAGAGTCTTGAGGATAACGATGTTTGAGTAATTTCGATCAGCCTACACAAGCTACAAATGTAGCAGAGGTTCAGAATTACATTTCCTTATAATGCTTCAAACACTCTAATTTTTTCCTAACACTTTTATAAAGGCAAGAAATCTCTGTAGTGTCTTTTGTACCACAACTCTTGCTTGTGTGTCACTTTAATCTTGCTCTCACATTGGCTTTACCCGCCTTCATTAACCTGTTTACAGGATTTCTGGATAAAGGGGGGAAGAACTACGCTGAGCTGAAGTGCAGAGCACATGCACATGTTGAGTAGTGATGATGCTACAGACAAGTTTCTTCAGACTGTGCTGTTGGGATGGAGCAAACAGTTGGGTTCAAACTCTTTTAACAGTTTGTAATAACAGCAGACTGAACTCTGGTGTCTAATATTTTCTAGCAGGACTCAAAATGTTACAACAGACCAGGAAAAATTGTTACTTCAACAACTCCGAGAAATTACTAGAGTTATGAAAGAAGGAAAATTCATAGATGACATCTCTCCTGAGAAGGAAGCTGAAGAAGCTCCTTACATGGAGGACTGGGAAGGTAAGTGAGAGCTTTTCTTACCATTACCCTTTTGAGAAAAATTGAATAAGGATTACTTATAGTCCCAAATACTTCCAAAGTTTTGGTTAACTTCATCCTTTCCTTTCCAGAAGTTAGTGTTCAAACCTTTGCAAAAGGAATATTTTTTTTCCCCAACCATAATGGAAAAAAAACAGATTTTGAGGCACCAAGCATTGCTTTTAGTGTAAACACTACAACACTACACTATCTGCTGCCAAAAGTGGCATATGAATATTCACATATACTCCATCTGCTGCTGGGGCTTGGCTGCTCTAGTTTTATATCTTTCCCTTACTTTGCTGTGCTGGATTTCATGACAATCAATCATAAAACTCTTGGAAAACAGAATTATTATGTTTTAGATAACTTACAGCTTTTACTTTTGATTAGTCATTCTTTGCTTGCTCCAGTGTGGTAAAAGCCAACTCCAGGAAATTTGTCTTTTAAAAATTATTTATTTTAATGTCCTTCCCATTCCTTGGTGTTTACCTGTTATATAAATGTGTTTTCAAGATACTTAGTTGAGCTGCTCCTACCAGAAGTTTAAGTGCAGACCTAATTTCTTGCCTTCAAAAAAGCTTTCAGAAATGATCCAAAACATTGGCCTTGAGCTCTGTTTATAAAGTGAAGTTCATGATGATGTTTCTAAAATGAAATGCACAGTCATTGACAGATCTGGTTTTTCAATTTTCTAAGTAATGCTGTCTATAGCAAAAGTCTTCAAAACACGAATCAGTCAATCTGTAGACAGAAAAAAAAAAAAGGTTCTATTTAAAGATCTGAGACACAGTTTTTACCTGTTAGCTCCCATAGCTTTCAGCAAAGCACAGGTATTCACTACTTAAAGTCAGGGTTGATAACCTGGCTCCCTGAAAATAAGTGGTTCTTTTGCCATTGTCTCCCAAGAAGTCACGTTTTTGCAGATTCTTGCCATGGATTTAATTGCACACATGGCATTAAATAGTTGGCACACTGACAGTGCTAAAAGCAACTGTTCTATCAAACTTTGCATTCATCACTTAAGTCAGGACTACTTTTAAATGCTGGTAACACTTCAAGCTGCATATCGCTTTATTCCTAAGGTTATCCAGAAGAGACCTATCCTGTCTACGATAATTCCAGTTGCTGCAAGCGCAAACAGGACACAATCCTTGTAGATTACCCTGACCTGAGCCAACCCTCTCCAGAAGAGCTGGCAGAAAGAATGGAGGGCATGGAAGATGATTATCTTTGTGATGAAACCCTGCTAGCTGATCTCACCACGGGAAGGGGTGGTCAGAATTTAATGCAGAAAAAGGATGAGGAGACTCTCACTGGTGAAGAGAAGGAGGACCTTCATCACAGCCAAAGCACTGAGGACTGCTGCTGTTGTTATGGGGATGATCCTGCTGTCATAGCAGAGAATGCTGGATTCCACTCTGAGAGCTGCAGTGAAGCTGAAGAGACAACCCAAGAAGACATGTCTGTGGAGTCAGAAAATGAAAGTGCAGCACTAGAAGAGCAGAAAGCCACTGATTCAGATGAAACTTCAGGCACGCTGAGAAAGCGCAACACGAAAGGACTTGATTGATAGGGAACATAGGGGATGTTACCTGGATGGCAAAGGTAGAGAGTATAAAGTGTCATTTGTAAGGCTTTTGTTCCTGATGAAGACTTCCCTGTGTTCATGTCCTTGTACCAATTTCATTCTCGTGGTACCGGTCACATCACCTACCTGAACTGGAACCCTCTTTCATGCACTCCCATCGTGGGTTACCATGATGTTGCCAACAGCGCTTTGTCCTTGATTTTTGAAGCGTGGTATCTTGGAGCAGATGATGTATGGAGCACATATTTGTGACTCTTTCCTTTCCAGTTCCAAGGGAACAGTCCGTAGTTTTGCCCTTTGTCATCCCAGAGTTAACCAAATGTCTCTTCTGACTTTTTCAAAAAAAGTCAGCGCTACCAGTGCTACATCTGTGTGCTACCAGCTAGGAAAATTAATTAAATCCATATATACACACACACACACACACACACACACACACATATATATATATATATGTGTGTGTGTACAGGATGCTGGAGGAGAAAGTATGCCTTCTTTCTTTACCTAAATGTTACCTGATCAGCAGAACAGATCACAGTCACACACATGACTTTCTCAAGTGTCATTGCTGCTGTACGCCCAAGAAACTGTTGTCACTACAACCCACAAAACTCATATGCTACCCCAACCCACAGCCCATTTCCCAGTTATTCTCTGTTGCAGGAACAGTGGCCTAATCCATGTTGTGTTACTTGTGTGAGCAAGACTGAAGTGCTGTGAGCTGTTCTTTAACTTTGCCATAGGTGTGGTGAAACTCCCAGGTGAGTGCAGGAAGTGGACTATAATATGTGAGCACTAAAAGTATCCCCAGAGATTAAAAACCAAACAAGCAGTGTTAAGATTCGTCTGTAAAAAGAGAACAGCGTGAGGGTGCCCCTTAGACTGAACCTACCCTTCCTCCTGGGAACCTGTGGGGTTTTTAACTCTTGGAATGTTGTTGCCACTGTCTTGCTGAGGGTTACCCGGGTATGGGATGAGGAGGGTGCTGGAGCGAAGGGCTCACAAGGGGAGGTGGCAGGCGGTCCCTGTGCCCAAGGGACAGCCTTTCTCATGCAGGCAACACGGCAGGTGGGAGAGAGCGTCAGGAGAGGAGCCCTCAGCCTCCTCCTTCTCCAGCATCTCAGCGTTTTCCAGGCCACAGGCCCATCACAACCAAACTCCGATGTACTGGACCACACTCGGCCCCAGGCACAACTGACATCACAATGGCTTGGTTACGGTGTCACATCACCTCACTGCTCCGGCACTGTAAACTCCTGCAGCTTCCAGGCCCTTGATGAATACCTGGATGGAAGGGGAGCCGGAGAAGCAGAGTGGATGGCTGCCCATCTTCATGCAGGACAGGAGCACAGCGCCACTTC